AGAAGAAAAGGAAGAGAAAGAGATGCTACGATTGAAGATGCAGGCCGATTCACCGTGCCGTGCCGACACATACATGTTATACATGCGCGATATACAAACGAAACCACCGTGTGGAGCGAGAGTGGTGCATCTCTTCTGGCTGTCTCGGGGACGAGAGAACGGCGGAGAGAGGACTCCGAGACAGAAGAGGTTGAAGAATGTGCACTCAACGTGATTGGTGCTGCGCGCCGGTGCATAGTGCCGGCTGTCGGCATGAAAACTCGAGAATTTTCCCAACTACTCATGTGCACACAGCACCGAGGACGTGCGTGCAAGTCTGCCTCTCGCCGCGTGGCGTCTTAGCTACCTTAGCTGATCGAAACTATCGGCTTTCCTGTCGTAAATCTATTTTCTTTCCCGTATTCCTCCATTCTGGTGTATATACCGAAAAATATGTAACTTTCAGCAGCTGCATTCCGGTTAAGCACACAGACTTTTGTTGGGCGAACGATTTTATGCGCGCGCGCGCGCGCGCGTCGAAGAAGAAATATTTCACAAAGTTCTATCACAATATCGTGACAATGCTGATCAGTATTTTAATCCATTTTTATTTGTCTCCAAAGAATTTTTCGAAGATAACAAAAGGATTTCGATGTGTGTTATTACTACGGGCCGAATTTTCAACGCGCTTTTTCAAAGCGGTCAGTATTGTATTTTATTAAACCGCTTTAAATGATATCGTAAATCAGACACATGTCCAAATTCTGTCTTGTTATATTTGCCGAACAACAAAGTGAATTTATATTGGGATTTATATTGGGATTTATATTGGGATTTTAGAGAGATTTTCCAGTAACAAAATAATATTCGGCATGTTGCAACCGGTTTATTCCGGTGCAGATATAAACAACAAACAACACTCGCAAGTTGTAATGTAAATCGGGCTGAATAAAGTCAGCATTTGTCAAAGGCTAATATTTATCGAAAGATCAGTCTCATGGTGCTATTGCAATCACCACAAAATCAAATGTTATCACGAAACATATTCTATACAGTTTTATATATTATTATTTTGTTTGCGTATTCGTTAGCGAAAGACATGAAAAAAGTCAAAATTAACTGTATTATATTTACTGAATTATATTTATTGAATTGATACTGAATTATATCTACTAAATTGATAAAATATTTAACTATATATTTAACTATATATTCTATATATACGTACTATGATTAGGATTTTTTCTTTTTTTAAAATTATATGGCTTCTGATCTAAATATCTACCTTACAAAAATTATCTTTATTTTTATAATTATCACAATAAACAATATAAGTTACAGAATTTTTACAAAATGTTTTTAACTAAATAAATATTTTTTTTAATTAAAAAATAGGAAAACTAAGTTTTATCTATATAATGTTCTGATAAAAGTAAATATATATTATTAAAAAAAAAAATAAAAATCTGAAACTAAAATTAATATTACATTGATTTGATAAAAAAATTGTTTATTAAGTAATTTATTATTACTAAGAAAACTGAATTAAGAAATTGATATAAATCTCTCTAGTGAAGAATTTATATTATTTTATATAAAAAATTTTTCTTAAAAATTTATTTCATTAAACAAAAATATTTTACAACAACGCAATTGATTAAATTTATTATGGATTATTAATGAATAACCAATAGTACAATAACGGAAAATCTATGTTTTTATGAAAATATGTTATAAAATATATAAGACATATGTATATGTTATAAAACATATTTTCTCATATTTGCATTCACTCGCAATTCTATGTGAAACAAACTTTTTCTAGTAACTTACAGTATATTACACACACACACACACACACACACACACACACACACACACACACACACACACACACACACACACACACACACACACACACACACACACACACACACACACACATACTATTATACACACATATATATTATATATATATATATATTTGAAACTTTACGATATCAAACAGTTATCTGTGAACATAAGATAAGCAGAAGTTTACTAAACCAAATCTGCTGTGGTGAGCACAACGGAGGCAGAATAAAAGCCGAACCAAGAACAACGATGCAAGTCGTATTGACGCGCGATCCTGCATCTCACAGTGCACACTAGATGCATAGACTATCAACAGCTTAGGAATATTCTAGATTCTGATGTCTAGGGTAATCGGGTTGTCGGCGAAGTTAACCATAGGCGCCACGACATCATGCACTACTCCTAGGATTTCCTTGGTGACGGTCTGCAGGGAGTCCTGCCTGATAACGAGCTTCTTTTTCAAACGCGATTGATAAAGATTTGAATACTCTGTAATGGGATGCAGTTACGTTTTCTTGCGTTATCAAATTCAGTATTTTGTGTAATTGCTATTTACTGGAAGCCATATTTATGTCTCATTGTTGATAGAGAAACCGGTGCTGACAGTATTGTTCAGTATTGAAAAGAAATTCTTGTCGGGTCTCTTGGTTTTAGATGATATTTAAAAAGACGATAAAACCTAAGTCCAGTTTTAATATAATATAATATTATAGAGATATAATATTTAAGATATAAAAGATAGTTTTTTCAATGATGTTAAATAAAAGATGTTCTTTAAGTAATATGAAAGTATTATGTAATATATTAATTGATAAAATCTAAAGAATAATGACAGAAAGAGAGAGAGAGAGAGAGAGAGAGAGAGAGAGATCTATTTTATTTACATTATTTTAATTATGAAAGCATATATAATTCACGCTTTACACTATAGAATGCTATAAATACAATTTTATAAAAATAAAAAAATTTGAGTTATATTAATTTTCAACAAGTTAAATTGGAAATTTTAATAATAGAAATTCTGTTTATTATATTAATTAATTCATTTTTGCAAATAGAAAAAAAGAAAATAGAACACTTTTATCTAATATGTAAGTATTGTTAAAATATAAAACATTTAATTTTTTGGAAATGAATAGTGAACTTATGGACTATTTCGTTCACTAAATCTAAAATATACAATTAAATTTAAAATTATCTTTAAATTTATTTAAATATTTTAAATAGTTTAAATTTATCTTTATTTCTGATACTTTTCTGGTCCAGCGATGCAACTGATAAGATCTTTGGTTTTCACGTACATAAAATTCCTATCAAGCATGCCGATCTCATCGTTGTAAATCACACCGGGCAGAACAGTCGCCAACATGAAAAGCTGACCTCGTTTTTCATCGAATCTGGAAGCTACGCGATGATTGTCATGATTGCCCACTACCCAATTCGCTTATGCTGATTCGTTAGGTGCATCGTTCACCCAACGATCGATGAGACGTTTGAAGTCGGCCACACTGGATTTATTGTTCAAATCAAGAATAAACATAAAATTAAACAGCACGCTCGAATCTAACTTATAGTACAACGTGATATCTGTGTCCGCCTCCGATCAAAATGATTTTTATATCATCTGTCTTTGAATGGTTATTCAGTAATTTTCTCCAGGATTGGAAAGTTTCGTAAATCTTGAGAAGATTCCTCGTGTAAATGTAAGGTCCAAGGCTTTATAATCATCTGATATCTCGGGCACGTTTTTTCGTGCCTCATCAATATAACGTGCATCCTCAAACGAGTGGCTGACAGCATCAATGCAAAAACCATCTCAATCTAGCCAGAAACTCAGCACATTTTTCATTTCGCGTCGCAATGTAACGCTACGATAGTTGAGATCTACTTGAGCAATATTGAACTGATGCAGATAATACTATCTCCGTACCGAATTCCATTTCCATGCGAATGACAGCCAATTGTTCGATGACTTCCCAACTGTTTACTATTCATGTCAAACGTAATACTCGTCGTACGGCTTCGTCGGACGCCTTTCTTGATCCACTCATGTAAGAGCTGCGATTTGATACAAAATCGAGGATTACTTTCAGCCCGAGGGACTTTATCTTCGCCGCGAGTTTATCAAAGTCAGCTAAAATGCCGTAATCCTTGTCGACGTTTAGTATAATTAGCAATGTCATAACCAAAGTCAAACTGCTGGCTGATAGAGATCCATGGTGATAGAGAGCCATAGCGCATCAACGCCGTCTGCGATATGCTCCAATCTGCTTGTAATACCATTCAAATTGCCTATGTCGTCTCCTATTACTATCCTTTTCGGGTAAACCAAACTGTACATCAAACTGTTCTTATACTAATTCTTAATCGCTTTTATGATATGCAGGTTGTTAAAACAACCAACCCTGCGATAAAAATACACGAAACGAAACATAGTAATTAATTCGATTGTTAATTTTAATGTGCTTTTATACTTTTCGCGATGGACCTTCAAAAAATATATAGTAGATACGCATGTTAAAATGTTATCATTTATTATTTATATTTGATAAGCTTGTAATTGCAAATACTAGATAATGATAATTTACATTTTTCATGATGATACATTAAAATAATGTGTGAGATTAAGTAATTTTTCTTTCGTTAGATAATTATTTTTATAATATCAAGAGTTTCAATCATCATCATATCAATTAAAAATAATGATTCAATGAAAATGTATTACAATTAAATTATCGTTATAATAAATATAAATTATAGAAAATTACGAATTGGGACATTGTTTCAATTTTATACTAATTGCTTATAAAAATACAATTTCACAAAACAGAAATATTTTATATAAATTCATATAAATATATTAATTTACATGTTGCCAAATATTATATATTTTAATTTTACTTATAGAAAAAGTAATTAGAATTATGCTTTTACTCGTCGTAAAACGACAGTTCTTTATATTGACTCTTTTTATTGACTCTTCCGTAGTAATTAATTAAAAAATGTATTATATTAAGAAAAATTAAAAATGATAGAATAAAGTTAATATTGAAGTACGATAAAACAAATTATTGAAATAAAGATAACTTAAGAATTTAACATCAAATTCTTGTTTTATAAATTTCTAATATTTTACATATCAGAAGATAATAAAGAATTATTCCTACTCAGGTTACAATAAAATTTATTTGAACAAGAATGTACGTTTTATAAATACATAGACGAGCGAATTAGTTAGATCATCAGTTTTGGATTCTATTGCAATGTTTTGCAATTAATAATAACACAATAATGCCACCAAATTTACTTTTAATTATTTTCAATTACAAGATGTTTTCTTTCAATATTGATTCTCAGATTTGCATAAGATGATGTGATTTGCAAAGAAAATATGTTCACGCCTACACACACACACACGCGCGCGCGCGCGGGCGCGCGCACACACACACACACACACACACATACACATATATGAAACTTTGTTTTATTAGAGAGTTACCCGTTAGTCATAAGATAAGCAGAAATTTACTCGACCAATTCTGTTGTAAGTACAACGGAAACCGCGCCCTCCAGAGCGACATTAGCCACATCGACGTGCGATCCTTGATTCAGGTCGGAGTCCACGCTGGACGCATAAACGATCAAGTTCTCTGGAATATTCAACCAGGTCCTGACATCGACGACTACCGGATTTTCGTCAAAGTTCACTAAGAGCATCACGACGGATGTTTCGTATCGTCGTATCACCCCTAGAACGTTCTGGTCTCCAATACAATCAAAACAGTACAACGAAGTTTCTAAAGAGCCCAGCTTAATGACATTCTTCTTCTTCAATTGCGCTAACAATTTAAACATTTTGTAATGAGAGGTGTCGTTCTCGGACTTTTGCGCTTCCAAATTCAAGGTTTTGTAATTCTCGTTCACTGGAAGCCACGTGTCAGTATTGTTGGAGAAACCGGCGCTAGTGGTGTTGTCCCATTGATAAGGCGTTCTTTCCGGATCCCGTGATTTTTCAGCATACCTGAAAATATTATAATGCCAGGACCAATTAAGAAAAAAATGATATATTATGACAAAATATTAATAGGAACACATATTTAATATGCTACATTTTTTTTGACATAGATTTATTATAATTTGTTGTCAAAATCTAAAATATAACATGTTTAGTTAATTGTAATTCGAATTTATCCTGCTAAAATAAATAATCAAATATGATGATTTATTACAAATAAAAGAATGACCCTATACATTTAAATATTTGTTAACTACTTCTAAATATTTTTAAATACTTTTTATAATTGATTATTAAATTAAATTACAAATCTCGTAATATTATAATCATCTAAATATTTATACAAATTAACAATTTTTGCAATCAAATTTTTTAATTAATCAATTTTTGTAATCCAGATAAGATTACAGATTGTGTAAATAAAAAAAATTTATAAATTTTCTATGTTACGTTCTATGATACGTTTCTATGTTACGTGATTCTATTCAGATAATTACCTGTCTCGTCCAGCATTGCATCCAGCAGGATCCACGGTTTCTTCCCATGTAAAATTCCTATCAACCATGCCGATCTCGTCACCGTTGTAAACTACGCTTACGCCAGGCAAAATGGTTGCTAACATATTAAGTTGTTCAATTCGATTATCGCCAAATCTGCTAGCTGCACGATGATTGTCGTGATTGCCCACTACCCAATTCGCGACGTATTCCGGACCGCTAGGTATATTGTTCACCCAACGATCGATATAGTATTTGAAATCGGCGGCTTTAGATTTATTATTTAGATCAGAAATAAACATGAAATTGAACGGCACAGTCGAACCCGACTTATAATACAACATAGTGAGATTAAAATCCGTGTAGGCCTCGGTCAGGATCATCTTTGTGTCAGCAGTTTTCGGATGTTTGTCCATTAATTCTCTCCAGGATTTGAGAACATCGTAAGTCTCGAGAAGATTTTTCGTGTAAATATGGTCTAACCTATCGTAATCATCCTCAGGTAATTCAGGCGCCCTTAACGGTTCGTCCAAAAATCGATCATCCTCGTACATGTGATTGATAGCGTCGATGCGAAAACCCTCCACACCTCGATCCATCCAGAAAGTCAATACTTTCTCCATTTCTTTTCGTAGTTTAGGATTACGATAATTGAGATCCGGTTGTTTAGCATGAAATTGATGCAAATAATACTGCTCTCGTTCCTCGTTCCATTCCCAGGCAGAGCCTCCAAAAACGCTTAACCAGTTGTTTGGCGGATGTTTGCCATCTTTGTCACATTTAGCATCACGCCAAATGTAGAACTCGTCGAAGGGCTCTTCACGAGCGGCACTCCGATTGAACCATATGTGTTCATCGGAACTATGATTCGGCACAAAATCAAGGATTACTTTCAGTCCCAAATTCTTTGCCGTCTCTACAAGTTCGTCAAAATCTTCTAGAGTTCCATACTCTTCGTGGATGTCGGTAAAATTAGAAATGTCATAGCCGAAATCTGCTTGGGGACTACTGTAAATCGGTGACAGCCATAGTGCATCGGCGCCGATATCTCGGACGTGCTCCAATTTACTTGTGATACCCTTCAAATCGCCAATACCATCCCCGTCATCATCCTTGAAGCTTCTCGGATAGATCTGATATATCAAACTATTCTTGTACCAATCCTTACCTCCTTCCTGGGTTGGGCTTGAATTGATCACGACGATCAACGCCGCAATCAAAATGCACGAACGAAACATAGTGATTGTTTGACTCTAATCGCTTAATTTAATCGCTTTTATACTGCGGCAAGTATCTGAAAAATTCCTAATAATAGATAAGTTCTTTCTTACATCTGATTACTTTCGAAGAATCGATTTATATTTATAGTTATCGATTGATAACATTCACATTCTTCGCAATGACGCTTATGTCGAGTGATATCAAATAGTTTAATGTACAATAGTTCGTATCACGCTATTATTTTTATTTTGAAACACAATAATCGTTGAAATTGGAATCAATTATCGTACAATGGTTGCGATATCGCGTTACGATATGAAATAATTTCATTATTATTATCATCTTTAATAATCTGTGGACTTACAAAGATAAGTTTCGATACAAATATTTGCTGAAATAATGGTCGCTTGAACTTGGCTGCTCGGCAATCGATACTGTTAAAATAACATAAAACATTTCGCGCACGTTTCGCATGTTTTGCGGCGTATCGCTAATTATATTATTTCGCATTACAAATTTTGAAATAATACCCCGCGTCGCAGATTTTGTTAAAGATCCCTGGCGGCGGAATTGATACGCGCTGTTGTTCGGCATCGACATGACGGGAATCGATTTCATCGGTCCGCGCTTCGAAAAATTCGCGGAATTGCGCGATTCCGCGCGTTATTACAACTCGCTCTCGAGCAGGAAGAGATTTGCGGTTTCCCCGCAAAAAGCGCCAATCTCTTAACGCCGTGAGCGCGTAATGTCGACTTGCACCGCCGGCCGATAAGACTTTTCGACTTACGGCCACTTGAAAAATGGCAAACATTCAGACCCGCACTCTCGCGTGCGCGAGGCGTTTATGCGTGTTAGCCTCGTAACTGCTATCGCGATCTATGCCTAATTATACAGGTGGTTCGCCACCCGCGTTTCTTACTTTCTTGTACGGCATCGTCGCGACGGTCAATTTAATCTTTGCCCGAGCGTCGAGCTTTCCATCAGGAATAAATTTGCCATTACCGCGAAATAACGTTAACATCGTTGCAGAGAATTCTCTTTTTTTTTTTTCTTTCTTCTTACATCGAAGGCCATTTTTCATAGTAGCGTCGAATATTCGAGCATAAACATTTTGCTTCTACCTCTAAAATTAAATGACCGATATTCTTTGAAATAAATTTTCTTTTATAATGATATAAAATTGCTATTGCTCAACATTTTTCGGGTGGAAATTGCACTGCGCGGAATGCGGTAAAAAATCTCAATACAATCGTAGAAAACAATCTCTGCGAAAAAAAAGAAATAAATCGGGGTTGCGAAATAATTTATTGTACCTTGAATAACGAAAATAACATTGTTATCGATGACCGCTTTACAATATCTTATCGCTTTTCCATATTTTTCCATATTCGACACTTGAGAGATAGTGAATAAATCAAGTGGAAAATACGCAATACGTGAGAAGTGTCAGATATACATCAGGATGAAGATTTACCTTCTTTGGTGACACCATCGCGCACAAATCTCAAATAATCTTACGGCACAAGCTGCATAATAATTCCTGCTATGTATTATATCGCCCACCTTTTTACACGTCTCTTTGCAAAATCGTCTGATAAATGGAAAAAGTCTTGAAACAGCCTTTTACATCTCTATTCCCTTTTGCTCTTACTCGCGGCACTGTCGGATACTTTGGAACACTCACTCCGACAAGGCGGCTTGTACTCTTTGCGATTCTTTATACATTCTGTCGTAGCGTTTGCGTTTGAACTAAAACGCATATGTTGGATCTTTCGATAAAAGCAGCGACTACACTTTTCCCACGTAACAATTTTATCTATCGGTATCAATGAAAGGAAGAATGAAAAAGTCTCGCCGCTGCACAAAGGAAATTAATGAGATGATAAATTTTTTCTTTTTTGCCCGGTGATTTTTTTTTTGTACCAAGTAAACTATCGCTCTTTTAGTCAATAATGCAACGAATGCGAAAAATAAGTTTCTCCCGGCGTGCGATAAATCATCCGTAAATCCGAGATGGTGGAGATGCAATTTCAAAATGATCTCTATATGTATTCTTAGAATATGTATTCTTAGAAATTTGCATTCTATCTTGATCGCACGGAAATCGGATAACTTCAACCGGATAAAAATGTTAAATCAACGAGTCGGGAATCGCGCGAGTTATGCAGAGGGGAAGTAATAAAGCGACAACGTGTAAATTGGCCGCGGATTAAAAGCACAGACTCTAAAGAACATAACCGGCAAAAACGTTGCGTTTTGCGGAATAATTTACGGTTACGGATGCAGCGAGGTGGCCGGAAAATATTACCGTCAGCAAGAATTCTCATACGGCCGTGAAGTTTTGTCTCCGGGTGTTATTTATACGGGTAATTTTCTTCATGGCTTACGGCCAACTTAATTCATTCATTATCCGGGCGGACGATAAAGACAATTTCGCTGAGATGATACATCATTCTTATTAGCGGCGCTATTCCCATTGTTGACTTTCGTTGGCTCTCAAGTTTATCAAAATTTCTGGTTTGCCTCGCGATATTATTTATCAACCTTTCCACTAGCGTATTAGCATACTCTGGGGAAATGTGTTGATATACAAGCACTTCGTCTTCATTCGATTAATCTTATCATATGAATATCTGACGTGAAAACCATTTTTTAAATGCTGTTACATCGAAGAAAATGTAAACTACAGTGTAATATATTCTGTTAGTCTTATCTCACGACTCATCTACTGACAAGTCTTATTAAATTTCTAAATATTTTACTTGTAACTTGCAGTAAATTTGTTTGTACAAACATGTTGATAAATTTCTTACTGTGATAAGCTCTCGGAAGTGGAAACTTGAGAGTAGTTAATGCACATAAATGTCGCGCGTGTAATAAAAATACCAAAATATTTTAAATTTATAAATAAATACATTTCATATGAGAAGGAATTCACATAACTTCCGTTCCATATTAAAAATCTCACGAAAAAACAAACGGCAGAGACAGAATTATTAGAAAGTAAAGTTACCGAGGAGTCTCACGATGCAAATTACGACACGCATCAAGCACAAGATGATGGAAAGGAAACGATCAGGACACGATTGTTTCCCGATCTCAAAAACACCCATTTACAATCTCGTGACGAGGGCCAATTTCCGCCGGACACGCCGCGCGCTTCCATCATCTATTAAAATGAGTTTGCGTTACGGGAGAGACGCCAGTTTGAGTTTGCCGCGTAGTTTTTAACGACGCGACCAAGCGGCATTAAGTCAATTCTCGCTGTGCGAAAGCTTTTCATGATGTCCGATCGTTTTGAAGGACCGACGCGACATAGGCGGGTACCGGCTTGGCCAGTGCAACGAAGCTGCCTTATGTCAGCCACCCTTGGCGCGATGGAGTAGTCAAACAACCCCCTCGCTAGTTTACGGTCGTAATTAACTTCCCAGGTTATTAGCCCTCGTTCGTGGTGGCAGCATGCTGCTCTTGCTTTCTCTCTCTCTCTCTCTCTCTCTCTCTC